TTTCCTAGGAATGTGTTGTCGTTTGTTGTGTCTTTACCTTTGAGTTGTTGTTATCTGTTGTGGTCTTGGGATGTGTTCCCGTGTTGTTTGTTGATGAGTGATGAGTCTCGAGTTGGTGTTTAATCTTGGTTTTACACATATATATATGTATTCCGTTTCGAAATGATTTTTGTATATATATCCTACCTATGTATGATACTTAACAGGTATTGGTGGGTTACCAGCATTATCGCTGACCGGGCGTCGTCCCAATGTTTATCTTTGTGTACCCACGGGCAGAACGACGGGTTGAGCTCCACCCGCCGCCCACCCGCGGGGAACATGTAGCCTCGTGGGTAGTGTACCCGCGGGCGGAACCACGGGTGGGAGCCTACCCGTGGGTCCACCCGCGGGGAACACAGTGGAGATTGTATGAGATTTGTTCCCCGTGATTTGTTTGTCTCGGTATTTGGTCTTTTGACTTAGTGATGTTCTTTTGTGGAACTATTTGAGCGTCTTCTTGATGTTTCGTATGTCTAGAACTATATGGTAGGTATCCATGTAGGACTTTTTTTGGTGTCTTGAATCGTGCTAAGTGTTCAACATTGTGTTTCGTTGGACCGTGTAGTGTCTTTTGTGTTCCTCGAAACTATCTTGAGTTTCCCCGTTGATAAGCATGCTAGTTTGTCGTCTAAATGCTAGCGTGTGTGTTGTTTGTACCTTTGGTTTGGTTTATGATAACTTGTGTTATTCATCGTTGATGTTGTTGGGCTGTGACCCATTCCTTGATTGAGTATGTTTCATACCTTCGTTTTGATCCGTTGATTGATTCTTGTTGAGGTGTGATGTGTGCGTGGCTTTACCTGGATTGCACGATTAGTGGTATGGGACACTAGTCACCAAGGTATTGCAGCGGTCCTCGTGGTGGCCGTGACGTGATTATGGAGCTTTGGCCTTTGTGTAAGGTTCTCGTGATTTACTAGGGGATAACATGTGTTATCCAGGGTATGTGTTGCCATGCGTATGTACGGTACCTCGTGTAATATGAAATCGGTGGTTTTGTTGGAGATCTGTTGGAGAGGGGACGACGGTCCTTGGGGGAATAAGGTTGGACTTGGAGTACAGGGGTCCTGGAGGTAAAGGTTGGAACTAGATATAAGGTTGGGGGTAGCCATAAGGTTGGAACAGGGCATAAGGAAGGCATTTCAACTCGTGATGTGTGATGTCACGAGGGCTTGTGTAGCCGTGGTTGTGTGTTCTCTCTTGTGACCTGTGTAGTCACAAAGGCATGTGTTGCCGTTTGTCGTGTCTTTACCTTTGAGTTGTTGTTATCCGTTGTGGTCTTGCGATGTGTTCCCGTGTTGTTTGTTGATGAGTGATGAGTCTCGAGTTGGTGTTTACTCTTGGTTTTACACTTATATATATGTATTCCGTTTCGAAATGATTTTTGTATATATATCCTACCTATGTATGATAATTAACAGGTATTGGTGGGTTACCAGCATTATCGCTGACCGGGCGTCGTCCCAATGTTTATCTTTGTGTTCTTTCAGGTGATGTCTAGACGAGCGCAATGTTTAGTGGCCGGTAGTCTAGTATCTTTACCTTTGTTTTATGGCCTGTGTGTTGTTGTAGTTTTAGACTGATGTCTTTGGGATAGATGTATACACTTTGCAGATTGACCGCCGTAGCGTTTACCGTGGTTGGTAAACGTGGTATAACACCCCGTTTGGATTTCTTTTATCCAGTTATCGTTTTATCTTCCGCTGTGCTAGTTTTTGTTGTTTGATATGCAGGTGTTAAGACCTTTTATATAGGTCATGTTTGGGGGGTGTTACAGTTGTGGAAAAACTTAAAGTTCCACGCACGGCACAACGCGTGTTGCGCGAATGCGTTGATCGCGAAATGAACTGGACAACGCACGTTGTCCGGTGCGTTGTGGAACGCCTTACGACTTCTTTGCGAAATTAATGAAGGGGAAGGCTGTTTAAGACATTTTTTGATTCATTTTTGGAGAGCTGGTGAGAATTTCATATTTTAGAGAGTAGTTTAGAGAGAGAAACACCAAAACATTATTAGATTGTAGATTGTTCTCTAGTTCCTTGTGAAGATCAATTGAAGAAGGAGATTGACAACCTCCTAATTAAGAGATCTTAGCAAAGCTTCATCAAATTGTAATCTACATTTATACATTTCTATTTCCTACATTTCAATTGATTAACTAGGTTTTGATTCTATATTTCTAATGTTGGTTCCATTGGCTTTGTTTGGTTAGATTAGTTAGGGATTGAATTGTGAAGTGATTGATTATGATGCCTATTTGACTTAATTCTTGAATTGAGGATTGAATACTTGGTATGCTTGTAAATCTTGTTGTTAGGGTTTGGTTTGTAAGCATCCTATGAAGCTAGGCCACCTACTAAGGTTGTGTTAAGCAAGTGTCTAGGCAAGAGATTACTAGATCACTTGAAGCTTCTATCCTTGACATTTTCTAGCCGCATAACCCCATAGGGTTAAGTTGGAAAGGTAGTGTAGGCAAGGTGTTCGAGGAATGGTCTAGGAGACTCCAAGAGTCCAAAGTGGGGAATTCTAGTGTCTCTTAGGCAAATTCGAGTAGTTGAAAAATGAAAGGAGTATATCTCTCTCCTTAGACTAATCATATGCAACGTTCTCTTCCCATGTCAAATGATCCTAGGTGCATCATAATCATCACTAGCAATTCAACCCCTATTTCCTTTACTTGTTATTTCATTTCTTGTTGTTTGTTGTTTGAAACCTACCACGACCTTACAAAATAATGCGTGACATCTCCTCAATTGTACACAAATTTCCTTCTTACTATTGACAACGCGATGCTTCTCCAATTTGTCATCCCTTGAGAACGATAAAATCCGGGAGTCATCCAACAAATCTTTTTGACGTGAAGGGTGTGCAAAAACACGTTTCCCCTTGTGGCATAAAAAATGGTGCCATTGCTGGGGATGTCAAACTGTGTTAGCTGAGTGTTGTTGATGTGAGAAATTGTTCGTGTTTGATTGAGTTTTTCGTTACTTTTCTTTTGTTTTTTTTTTTTTTCATATTGCTTGTTCTAACCCTCACCAACTACTTTTAGTTGTGAGGAGGACTACTTTGTTGACTTCTTTTATAGGATGGGATGCACACAAGATCGAAGGGAAACTTAGGACTTTTGTCTTTGGTGCCCGAAATCAATAGAGCAATCCGGAGAAGAACACCATGTGATCCTATTCCATTAAATGACATGGTCTTTTCAAGCGGCCACAATCAATGAGCGGCACTAGGAAGGGAGGGTCCTTTGCACACTCCACCTATGAACCATCAAGGAAGAAATGCCTTTGGGGAAACACAAAGACCACAAGAACCACCACTTCAAGAACAAAATGCAAATGGAGGACAAAACCAACCAGACATTGTTGGGGAAGATGACTACTATGGTGTTCCTCATGAAGGGAGAGGAAGATCGATTGCCGACTACATGGCGCCGAAATTTTCTATGTACAATTCAATTTGCGTGCCCCCTCTTGAGAACATCAACTTTCACATCCACCCGGCGGTCCTAAGTCTTGTCCAAAACAATCCATTTGGAGGATCCATTTCGGAGGACCAACAAACTCATATTACCCGTTTCATACAAGCATGTGGGATGTTTAGGCAAGCGGGCGTGCCTGATGAAATTGTTAGACTAAAGTTGTTTTCATTTTCAATTGCAAGAGAAGCATTGCGGTGGTTGGACGCACAAGATGATGACCAATTTAGGTCATGAGCACAGTTACACAAGGAATTCATGAATGAATTCTTCCATTGACAAAGACCATGAAAATTTGCAAGCAAGTCCAAGAGTTTAAACAAGGTTCATTGGAAAGCCTTGGCGAAGGTTCAAGTCTTTAAGAAGACAATGCCCACCAGATTTACTTCACCCTTGTGACGTCATAAGCTCGTTCTATGGCGGCCTAATGGACGAGGGAAAAATGCTATTGGACTCATCATCTAGCGGAGCCTTTGTATCATCTTCTCTGGCGGATGTCGAAGCTTTAATTGAAAGAATTTCTTCAAACAGTTCATTTTGGTACAACAAGCAAGATTCTAGACCGGGAATGTACGAAGTGAAGGGAAGTGTGGCACAAGAAGCTAAAGTGGAAGCTATGACGCAAGAGATCAAAATGTTGCAAGCTATTGTTGAAAAGTTAGATGCCAAATCTCAACCTTGTATGGCGTTGGCTTTGTATTGCAACATTGGCGCTGGTCCTCATGATACAAACATATGTAAATCCTCCATACATATTGAAGAAGTAGAAGCGGTGAATTACCCACAACCTCCAAGAGCCAATGGTTGGGGAAATGAAAATGTGAATTGGAAACAAGGAAGTGTATGACAAAATTTGAATTGCCAAGGAAGACCCCAAGGCAAGACCACATATGGCCCGAGAATGGAAAGAGGAAGACTTACTTATGGTCCTCAATACAACCAAGGACCATTGAATGCTCTTTACCGACCCCCGATGAATCCTCATGGTGAAATGTCAATCAAAAAAGTGAAGCGAATGACGTGGAAGAAAGATTGACAAAAGCCATCAATGATTTGAAAGGAAACCAAGGTTTTTTGAGACAATAAATAACTCAAGAAATTAGGCAAGAAATTGCCTCGATGAAGCAAGAATATTCCCTTTCATTGAAAAACATAGAAACTCAATTATCACAAATATTTCGGTTAATGTCAGAGCGCCCATGGGGAGCTCCACCAAGCACAACCGAAAACAAACCCAAGGAAAGAGTTAACACCGTGATGGTCGTGAGCCCAAAAGATGAGAAAAAAGACGCAATGGAAAGGATATGCGAACAAGATGATTCTTGCAATGTGAAAGTCAACAAGGAAGAGATCACCTCCTGTGATCCGCCAAAAAAAGAAGGAAAAAAAGGACACCACTTGTGCCCTCGCCCTTAAGAAGAGTGAGAAAGAAGCCTTACCACCAAGGAGCAAACCGCAAACGTCTCCAAAAGCGAAAATGACCAACAAGGAGACATTGGAAAAGGAGAAGGACGTAACCTCTATTATTAACACTCTTCGTTGGGTCTGTCTAGTTAATGAAGATTTTGATAGTGATGATGAGGAGGTTGTACCTCAAGTTTATTTAAGAGATGAGGCATCGACCCTAATCCACAAGGGATGCCCTAAGAAAATGGGGGATCCCAGAACTTTTGTTGTTAATTGTGCTATCAAAGATTGTGATTTTAGGAATGCTTTGGCCGAACTCGGAGCCTCTATAAACATCATGCCCTTTCATGTGTTCAATCGGCTCAAGTTTCCATATATTTCTCCCACACCGCTCACGGTTCGGTTAGCCGATGGGACCGTAAGGTGCCCACGAGGGGTGGCGAAGGACGTGCTTTTAAAGATTGGTGAAAACCTTGTGCCGGTAGACTTTGTAGTTCTTGATGTAGGAGATCTATACGTGCCTTTGATCCTCAGAAGAACTTTCTTAGCTACTTTTCGTGCTCTCATTGATGTGGGCACGTGCAAGTTAACTTTGAAAATAAATGATGAAGAACTGAGTGAGATGAAAAAGGTACAAAAGGAGAGCGTTTGTGTTGCAAAGAAGAAAGTGAAGGCGAAGCCCAAAATCAAGCCATAGTGGGAGATCAAAAAGGTGTCTTGGGTACCTAAGTGCTTAAAGACAAATGGCTTCGAAGGGTCTTGAAAGGAAGACAATTCTGTCTAGCCAACGATGGTAAATGTGGCGCTACTTGGGAGGCAACCCAAGGTTTCTTTTCATTTTTATTGTTTTACTTTGATTTTTGTTGTAATAAGAATTCAAATGTGGAAAGCGTCCATAGTTTTTCTCTTTGTGTGGAATTTGGAAGCTAACCTTGAAGGGGTTGAGAGTTGATGATGGCTAAAACAATGGACCAAAAAAATGCAAAACATTGAATTGAAGAAAGAAAAAGAGGGAAAGGCAAAAAAGGAGGCCACAACGCATGCTACAATGCACATTGTGGTGGACGTTGTGAAATTACAGAGAGTTCAACGAGAAATAGAGCACATTGTCAAAATTGTTGCAAAATTCCAGTGAGTTCAACGCACCCAACAACGAGCGTTGTTGAGTTCGTTGTGGAGGTGACGAAAGGCTCAACAAGGGTTACAACGCACGTTGCCAAAAGGAGGAAAATGAGGTGAAATTTCCAGAAACATCAACGAAATCCACAACCACTACTACAAAACACACCTACCAAGGCGGTTATTTTTATAAATACACGGCGATTAAGGGAAGAACATACGAATAGACTCACAACGACATGTGACATCAATATAAGCATACGACCTACGGGGAATAACATAGACCATAATTTAGACCCGCACAATACAAGTTTAGACCACATGCACAAACACGACTCACAAATCCTATTTGCGGTACTTAGGACATTATTCTAGACTCACAAACATCAAAGAAGACACTTCGGGGCACGGGGATCGACCAACGGAGACCAACCGACCACCGCATCGCACCGTACCAGCGGGTGGTACGACGGGTGGACAACCACCCGCCGGACTACCCGCCGGCGGTGCCCACTGTTCCAGCGGGTGGCTGTCCACTCGCTAGCTACTCGCTGGAACGTCACTCGCCGTCGGGTGGGGGTTCGTCCCCCCACCGACTACCCGCTGGAACCACTCTTCTTGGAAAATTTCCCACCTCAAGAATTCACCAATTTTGCCCAAATTCAAGTCCAAGCCCACCCAAACTCACATAAAAAATTATAGGGACTTGAATACACGGAATAACACAACGAACAACATTATCGGACCCTAGACACAAGCTCTAGACATGCCCAAACACAAGAGTACTCATATAATTGTTTAAGAACAACAAGAACATCAAGAATATCAAGAATCCACAATATAAACCCTAAATACAAGCTATATCAAGGCATAATCACAAGATAATACATTCCATCATTCAAGGATTCCAATAAATCATAACATAGCAAAGAAAATAGGTTTTGTAAGACATGCGTTACCTTTTAGCTTAATTAAACTTCTCACAACTTCCTAAGATCTTCCATCAAGGTATCCTTCCAATCAATCCTTCCTAAACTTGGTGATGGAGAATTCGTTTACTATATTTTGGAGAGGGATTTTCGAGTGAGAGAATAGGGATGGGTGATAAGGTTCTAAATGCCTTCTAATTCCCCTTTATATAGGTTAGAATTCCTAATACGAATTTGAAAAGGTAAGAGGTTTAGGATTCCTAATACGAATCTGAAAAGGTAAGAGGGCCCTCCTTATTTTATCTAAAAGGATAACAGGCTTTATTCTAGACAAAGGTCCACGGTCCATCATGGACCATATCAATAAATTAAGGGATTTGGGTCACATGGTTTGTGCTAAGTAATATTTATTGGGTATATATATATATATATATATATATATATATATATATATATAGCAAAATATTTAATTTATAAGTAAGTAGTTTTATTTGGAAAATATTTATATTTAATATAAATATTTAGGAAAATACGGGGTGTTACAACTGGCGGGACTTGTCGCATACCCAGGAGCGTATGCGGCGAAGTCCTGCCAGTTCGTGGTAGGGCATGAAGGGCAGGGCTTTGTGCCATACCAGTCACGCCCAATACCACGCAGGGTTGTGGCGGGGCTTGCAAGCCCTGCCTGCCTGGTCCTGCGTGGCATTGGGCCTCGGTGAAATACCCTTTTGCCCCTGGTTCCAGCCACAGTTTGTTTTTGCAGGTCCTGCGTGGTATTAAGCGTGATTGTTTGCAAACCATTTTCAAAAACAAAGCATGACCATTTATTTCTATCAAGTATGCTACAAGTGTGACTACTAAAAGTGTTGAATATGATTACATGAGTGTAAGTGATTATTTGATGAGTTCATTGATAATATGTTATGGCCTAAGTTGTCTTATGAAAGTTATGATCATGATTTACGAGTATTCAATGTATTTAAAATATGTGAGCATCCATTCATTGTATTAGGCCATTATTGATTTATTATTTTCCTATTTCCCCAAACTTATGATTTTTATGTCAATAAATACCCAATGTTTTGAAAACCTACTATACCCTTATATATTATTTCTCCCCTTTTCAAAAAGTATATAGTTATGGTATTGCATATGTATATGTTTACCCATCCCTGGTCAAATAAAGCTAATATTTTCATCACCTATCTCTATCCATATTTTCGAATACTATATACATATTTATTTCTAAAATAAGCATCATGTATGGAAAGTGATTTAAAACGACATGTTATCCCTTTTGATCCACTTGTGAGGAAAAGTATATTTTTGGAGGTCCCGTTGGAACTCATGTTCTTTCGAAAGAAAAATGATTAATGATTTGATGAATGTGGGTCCGGTCGAAAAATCCTGGGCAGTTAATGTATGAAGTAGCTTGGTCGAAAATCCTGGGCTACTAGGGCTTAGATATTACTCGTTGGGCTTGGAATTCCAGTAGGGGGTGTGCACACTAAAGGTACGGTCCTGATTCCAAAGATGTATATGTTGTGGGGGAGATGAGATTAGGCTGACCGATTATTGCCGAGCCCGGATTAAGTTCATTTAAGCATGGTGAAGTTCCTACCTCCCCACGATTATGATGATTCAGATGATATTGATGATACAGTTATGATCCATGAGATTGATTCAGATACCTCCAGTATTATTATTAAAGGAAATGATATTTTCTTGAGTGTGAGCTTATCTATATGAAATGATTTCTACTTATATCTTTAAAGGCTATATTACCTTGATAACTCCTTTATTAATTATTATAATTGAAGTGAAATTATTATCTAACCCCCTCAGTTTTACACAGATTGAAGATTTTAAGACAATATTGCATCTATTTCCACTCTCTTTACATTTCAAGTACCATACCCCTATTTATTATCCCTCATTGCATTATACCTTTGCTTAAGTTGTGAGTACTTATTATTTGTTTAAGCATGAGTGTGAGTTGAGTTATATCTTAGTGATATATATATATATATATATATATATATATATATATATATATAGTTATGTAACTATGTAACCTACCTATATATATATATTTACGTGATCCTATTTGATCCTATGTGTGTTGATATGTGTAATTATCTAAACTACTATTTTCCAAATCTATATTATCTTACAGGATTGAGTGAGTTATACTTAGAATTTTATGCTAACAGGTTACTTTTCTACGTTTTTTATATGGTTGGAGTTTAGTGTGCGGGGTGGAATGAAGTGGTGTGAGGTGTAAACGAAGGTTGTGAAACCCCTGAGTCTCGAACTCAAGGATGGCAAGTTCGGAGCAAGTGAAGTGCAAGACAACCTAGTTGTCACAACGTGTCAACAAGATTAACTAGGTGCTAGGTGAGAGCTTGTGAGGTTGTGTGTGTGTGAGCAAAGGAAATCAAATAAAAGAAAGAAAACAAAAGGGAAAATAAACAAGAATGTGAAACGGGGATTTGGATGGAATTGGGATTTTGGTTTGTGCACTCATTGGTCTTGAGTAGACAAGAGTGGGTATATGGCTTGGCTAACCTAGGGAGACCTAAGGCACCATCACTAGGACGTGTAGGACCTAGTCTCTCGTTCCCTACATCGGGCGAGGCACTCTATCAAACACATGGCGGGCAGTCTACCGTCTCCTCCCCTAAGCTCGCTCTCTCAGGTCATAGGAAGGGGATTGCAAGGGCAAGGCTAAGGAGAGTGCAATCTCTTGCTATACTCTCACTCTCACACTCATCCAACCATTGGAGCTCTCAATAGAAAGAGATCAATATGCACACCTCTATAACAAAGACATACAAGGCTAATACATACAACCAATCTCATCATCCATATATTCAAAGCATGAGAACACAAACACAATCCAATCCCAATCCAAATCCTAGATGTCTAGCAATTCATCATCATTTATAAGATCACAAAGCACAAATCAAATATGAAATCAAAGCAAGGAGAAGAAATGTTACCCAAATCTTCAATCTAAGATGCTAGTAATCCAATAGCAATGTTGAGCAATGAATTCTAGGAGTAAAATGTAAATCTAATCTTAGAGAAAGAAAGGAAAAGATAAACCTTAATCTATCCTAACCTAAGAGAGTTGAATATGAGAGTAAAGGAATGGAAAAGGTAGTATCCTAAGTGATCCCCTTACAAGCCTTTAAATAGGCTGAAATTCGGAATTTTCCGCGCTGGCATCACAACTAACCTCACAACACGCGTTGTGAAATTCGTTGTACTTTTGGCCTTTCCGACAATGCACTTCACAACGCATGTTGTATCTTGCGTTGTTGCGAATTTGCCTTTCTTGCCTTCACCAAAGTTGTATCCATTGAAGTTGCCGAACCATAGACACTGGAATCACCTCATTTGGACATTCCTAGCTCAAGATATGATCAATCTACCAAACTGTCGCCGGAATATCCTGAAATTGACAATGTTTTGCTATTTTTCTACAAAGGCAATGAAATTAGTCCTCAATCCTAACTTTTATCAAATTAAGCTATTTAAGCATGAATTATTCATAAAGAACTCTAAATATAGCACAATATACCTCCTAAATACCCTATAAAACATAGCATCTTTGGCACTTATCAGTTTTCCTTATAACCCTTTT